CCAAAGTAGGAGAATACCAACTTTTATATTTTTTAATTAAATGTCTGTATTAAACAGGCCATAGATATACATGTATCCATATATACTACAATATAAAGTTGTAGAGTTTGTTTGATTGAAGGCGCTAATCCCGTAAGTATTTCCTGTACTTACTGGATCTAATTGTAAAATTATGTATATATAATTAATTATTAAAATTAATTTAAATTGTTAGTTAGTAGGTATAGAGTAAATGCAGAATAAAAGACCCTATCACGTAAAACTTCTTGGATTTTTGCAATGGAATTTACGTAATGTTATTGAATTATGGAGTTGATTTAACACTAATATTTCAACATAATTCCAGTAGGAATAGTATTATATAGGAAAGTGAATTACTTAGAGAACGTCCATATCCATATATAGACAAAAAATCGTCGTAAAAATGAAGCATTTCTCAATTCGACTTCTTGTTTTTATCTCTCCAAACAGATAAATAATATCTAAGCTAATTTTCTAAATGGTTTCATAATAAATTCAGAACAAAGTTCTTGAATCTATGCTTAAAATTTCCAAATCCAGATATTACAAATGGAATATAACATAATTTATAATTTTACCACAAACAATCTTAACTTTTAAGCATTAAAAATTCAAAGTCATGAATAACAGTTTTTCTAATGCTAGTTCTTAAAATAAATTGTGCGATAAAGTAAATAAGGTTAGAAAACTGCTTAAAGGCACACGTGAATCAGCAAGAAATATTCAATTTTGTAAATGACATATAAAATGAAGATAAAATGGATTCCAATTTCACAGAAGTCAACGCAATTTCAGCGACTGCACCAACATTTATTTAATGCACATTTGCAAAATGTATGTTATGTGTTACTTTGTATGCTCCAAAAGTATTCAAAAAATATAAGTGGCACTAAATAAAAATGGAATCTGCAAGAATTATAATATTGTCACCAATATTTTTTATATAACTATTATTATATTTATTAATTATAGCACGAGTATTACCTATAAAAATCTGAATAAGTAGCAATTGAATTAATATAGAGAAAACTAGAATATAGCATTATTGTTATACAACAATGCATACGCACATGAGATAGAATGAGACACAGAAACATATGACGTGTTCTTATTTATTTAATTGTTGTGTTATTGTGCTGGGGTAACGCCAATAACAAAAGCATATTATATTTTTCTTTGTTTTTTTTTCTATACTCAAAATTTTATAAAAATACTTGGTACTCGAAACACACGTACATACGTACAAAGTTTCTAGCTGACTTCAAAAGAAGTAGATGTACTAAATTTAGTTATTTACGATTAACAGTATCCTATAACTATATGATTTTCTATGTGCATTGAGGAAGCCCGTGTATTTTGAAAATATGCTGCATATATAAAGTAAATGGTTCAACAATTTCAGTATTTCTAACAAATTTTATTCACTAACGGAAGTTGATTTTAAGTGCATTGAATAATTCGGAATTTGAAGTGAAAACACTATACTTGGAAAGGTAGATCACGTGCAACTGATCAATATTGGGGCCGCGACGCGACGAGGATGTATTGGTATACAGACGCGACAAAAATACGGATGTCACAATGGTTTATGTGTGAACCGGGTGACATATTATATATCGCGCCTGTGTTGGGTAACTTTAGACATTTTTACAATATTTTACTTCAATTGTATGTCCCTAAAACATTTGACTAAACTTTATACCAGTACTTTTCAATCTATGGTATATTGTCTTAACAGGAATAAGTAGCTATAATGTATATTTTAATGTAACTTCGTTGACAATTATTATCACGAGTCAATCAAGTAATAAACTTACGCTTCTTTTGTGCCATAGTTTTGGAAATTTTGTATAGATCCTAAAATAATAGCTAAGTTTAATAATATGTTTTTTTCTTAGTCTGCGTATTTATTAGAATACCGTATATATTATTATATTTCTTTCGATGTCCTTAAAGTATGTATGTGTTTACGTTGTTTTAGATTCTCAACAAATACACAAGCATTGTCTTTTCCCACGTTGGCTAAATCATCGATGGAGGAACAAAATTAAAAATATTAAGATTATTTATTAAAACAAAGTCTTGTGGTTCTAAGATCACGACTTGATTAATTAATTATTTTTGTCAGGCAAGTTATCATCGAGCTGACCAACTTTCAGCGACTCGAAAAATAAATTCAAAGAATTTCAAAGAAATCAGAAAGTAGGACGGAAGGCATGTAAATTTGAAGGAAAAAAGTTTAAACAAAACTGTTGGAACTTACAAAATAATATTTTAAGTACTTAAATATTTGTTGTTGGTCTCACTTTTCTGCAATACAATAAACTTTATATGTTGATGGTGTTCAATAACCATATTTTATGTTTTCAATATTCATTCCAATAAAATGTAAAGTCGCATATACCAGGACCTGGATAACAGGACCACATTCCTGAGCCTGATAAGGTACTTGTCGTGAATATTGTGTTGTATTTTATCTTCATAGTTATAGAGAGATAGAGTGATAACCCATCGATATCTGTTTGACCCATTTTTAGTTACAAGGGCAGTGTCATGTCAATATTAGTTTTTATTAAATTCCCTAAAGGTTTTAGGGCGATCGATTACTATTTGTGTAATACTAATAATATCATTTAATTTATTCCTACCAATCAGAACAATATAATTATTTAATTTTACATTTGTACGTAAAAAAATGTATTTTTAAACACGAATCTGAACAGTGGCGTTTGTTGTTTTACTGTTATATTTTAGGTATATCTTACATACCAGATAACTATTAAATTTCAGATCGAGCTTTAGGAGATTAAATTATCCGCCTATTAATACCTACTTAACAAAAATCTCATGCTTTACTTGCTCGTTGCTCTCATTGTAAATCATCACTTGGTGACTCCATCTTAATCTTCTAATGTATTATACATATTAAATTTATAGGAATGTTCTCGAAAACACAAAACAAGAAAGTCTGCAAGCTACTCGCATGCTAATGTAAACATGTTAGTGTGTGTTATGTATTGCTAACGACAATAATGGATACCAACTAACATGACAAAAGACACGAGTGTTAGTGAAAAGGCCAGGGTCCCGTTTTCTCTTGAGGCAGTGATTATTTATTATATGTACGCATTGACAATGCTGCAAAATATAAGCAGCACAGCTTGAGTCGTCAGATAAAATTGTCGTTAGTTTGGTCGAGAACTTCCTGTAGAATCTGAATATTTAGTATTAAATAAAACAAAATACTTGAAAAATTTGTGTCTAAGTTTAATATTTCTATCTGGTTACTAGTAATCTGAAGAATGAATCGCATATACTGGAATTATACTGAAAGAATTAGCTGCCATCGGTCTTATCGGACATTTTTGTTAAAAGTTTGATAACTATCTGATAGAATTGTGTAATACTGTAACATGATAGTTAAGTACTTGTTGGTTAACTTATTAGTAAGAGGCAGGTAAAAAACAATATACCCATATTATTCACTTTTGTACTAAGCAAAACATATCCTATAACAACGTAAAAGATTTATAAAGAAGTTCATCAATATAACGTTATATTTTTTAGTTTTTGCTTAGCCATTATTTATCGCTTAAATCATATTTTTATTTTAAGATATTTATGGCTAATTATTGTAGATTCCCATTATTTAATCTCTTTTTTCTATAGTAGTCGTAAGTCTTCCTGTCATAAGTATCCACAGATGTCTACGTTATTTTGCCAATTGTCATACATACAGTATTCATTGTACTAAAAATGTTAAATCTATATTGAAATCAACATCCCATAAAGGTCTTTAGATATGCTAATTAAAAAAATACAATTTACATTGTAAATACCTAATAAGAATATTACGTATTACTGTTGTTTTTTGTATGTGTACATAATGAACTAAACGATCAAACGTAATTAAGTAGTCAATTTGTATCACGTGACGCAAATACTCATAATATATATCTATAGAAGATAAATGTATGTGCTATTTATTAACGAATATTAGAGAATCAAATTAACAGTCTTACTTGAGTACTTAAATACATAAATATAAATAAATGTACACTACGTATATTGTGTGCTTTTTCATTACTTATAACTACACATATTTCATCAGTACAAAGACCAACTGTGTCCATACAGGCTTCATTTGTTTCACTTAAATAAATACAATATGAAGGAATCTGTAGTTTCGTATACATATGCTTACCAGTAGGAGCGTATTTCTATTCGTAGACAATTGGTAGTTGAAAACGTTATTCTGTCGGGAAAGCAGATTCTTAGTAATGATTACTATGACCCCTTTGCTAACAATGTACCCCATCAGGTCCATTTACTCGCGGTTCCTCCTAGGAATCGTCGTAGCTAATTCTATCCTATCATTCTCCACTGGTGTCCCTCCATCATAAACCGTTAGCGCAGTCGGGTGCACTATTCCATTATCATCCATAAAAAATGCATCTTATAAAAAATAAATGCTATTTCAAAATGATTAGTTTTTTCTATATACCTAAATTCTTGATTAGATATTATTAGTAATTAAAAACAACAGGTTTATTCATATATTTGTAATTACCACAAATATTTTTGTGTGATACCTCAAATAAACCAATTAATTAACAATTAGTTTATAATAACCATCATGAGAAATTGCAATAGTGTTTAGTACATTTAAGTGCCTAACTGTATATAATATTAAGTACCCTTTACAATTTAATGTTAGAAAAATGCAAGTAATTAGAAACATCTACAAATATCTAGTTTCATTATCTTTACATAACTATATGTGTACATTTATATATTTAATTTCATATGTGTAAGACGTCATAGCAATTTTAATAAAGTAGCACACATTAGAGAATACATAAATGCTAGTATTTGTTTATACGTCCATTTGTTATTAACTATTATTGTTAAGTAACCTACCTACTACAAATTAGTATAAAAGTTTTCATATATCAGTTAACAATAAGGATTCCACTAACCTTTATGTCAGTGAACGTACGGTACTTTTATTTACACAGCCGACAAAATAGCACCCGTTGAATCTGCAACAATTTATAAAATACTGTTAATTTTTCAATATATATATAACAAAATATTGGAAGAAGTACTGTTACAATATGAGGCACAATATCTTAATCTTCTGGTAAGGCTACACAAGAGTGGTATCACGAGTATCATGATATCGTGTTGTTCATATGAACATATAAATATTATACATGTATATATATTGAAGTTAAAATTGTACCCAAATAAAGTTTATTTTATTTTAAATATATATACCGCCGGTTATCGCTTACTATGAGCCGTCAGCTTGTTTGCAAATATAAATAAAAATAATAATAATTAGAACGAAATTTTCACAGAATATGTTTATATGTCGTTAAATTTAAGCAACCTAATCGCCAACCCAAATTCAATACGCCACGGAGTCTTTTTTAATTTATTTTAATATATATAACTATTTTTTTTTAATTTATATATTATAAAATAAAATATAGAGTCATGTAGACGTTTCATTCATTGTTATCAATAGAGTATATATACACGCTCGAAATCTCAGGCACATTTAGTTCAAAATACAATTACCTACCATATACCTCTATATACTCATATAGGTAGACACTTTACATTATTATATGTATAAACGATGAAAAACTGGTTAATTCTTACAATTCTGTAGGCAATTCTAATTGTTGTATCATTTGATTAATTAGATGACGATTAAAGATGACTGTGATTAGAAACGTGAGTCAGGTAGAGGTCAAGCTGTTGTTGTCTTAGAGCTAAGATTAGAAGTGACGCGGCAGTGACGCATCACAGGCTAGGCTCATGCAAGTACGGTCACTACCCTATACTCGTTCCTCGAAATACTCGACACCGTTTTAATATTGCTTCTAAATTAGCAACTGGATAGCTTACGAGAGTAGGTGTAGTCACTAAAATAAATACCGATATATACAATAATTAAACTATCTGTTCCAACGAGTTTACCTACTATTTATTATTTTTCTCGTTTCATAAGCATTTTTTAAGAATAATTTTTACTCCAGATGTAAAAAGAGGTGTTATAAGTAAGAAACTCGTGACTGTTACATTCTCGGATGGGCAGCGTTCGGGAAGCTCCGATATATCTTTTCGTCCAAATTTCCGCAGTGTCTCAAGACGAAGGTTTACGACCAATGTGTGTTGCCAGTGATGACTTACGGAACAGAGACGTGGTCGCTAACTATGGGCCCTATCAACAAGCTCAGAGTCACTCAGAGGGCAATGGAGAGGGCTATGCTCGGAGTTACTCAGCGTGAACGAATCAGAAATGAGGAGATACGCAGAAGAACCAGAGTGACCGACATAGCCCGAAGAATTGCGACTCTGAAGTGGCAATGGGCGGGGTATATAGCTCGTAGGACAGATGGCCGTTAGGGTATAGTCCTCGAGTCGGACGGACCGGAAGACGCAGCGTGGGAAGGCCTCCAGCAAGGTGGACCGACGATCTGGTCAAGATCGCTGGAAGGCATTGGATGCGAGCAGCGCAGGACCGATCGTCGTGGAGATCTTTGGGGGAGGCCTATGTCCAGCAGTGGACGTCTTCCGGACTGCGATGATGATTCAACAGTCATCATCATCATGACTGTTACATTTGTATGGTTGCTCCTAAACAAATTTATTAGACAGATTATATTATGATTTTTCCTTCTTTGAAAGCTGACAGATGATAGATGATAATAGAGATGGTATTCGACTACAATATATTTGCGTTTTAATATAAATTATTTTATCCTTGATACAGGGGTTCAAATTGAGTGAGGGTTAAATTTTTTTGATTTTTTGGGTTTTAGCGTTGACACACGTCATAAAATAAAGATATTTTCAAAATTTTAGCAAGTAAGAACAATATATGGCTTTTAAACCCTGCTATTGCATACATTGGAAGGTCAGTGTATGTCATTTTCAAAATTATATTAGTATTATCAATGAGTAAAGCATGGATTAAATAGTTTTGAACATAAATAAGTGGATATGTTATTTAAAATTCAATTAGCATTATATTATTTATTCTACAAGCCAAACTTGACGTTAGAACTCCTAAAACTTCCTGATCTCATCATTTTGTTTTAATACACACAGGAAGTTGAAAGTTTTAAAATTTTCTTTATAGCGTTAATATTGGTAATCATATAACTTTATAAAAACAAACTCAGTTCTATTCTTAAAAAATAATTTGTCAAACTCATAGTTTATGTATTACAGTGTTAGGCTATTATAAAAGGGTCTGTAGTAATGAACATAAAAAGAGTCGTTCCGTTTTACGCCTTCACCAAAATTGACTTCCAGGGACTAAATTCGGTTTTACGACCTATGTGCTCTTTTATGACGTGCAAAACTCTATTAAACTGTTGTTTTATTTGTTTCAAAAGAAGTCGTTGTCTTAATGTAGTCCGGTCGTCACGTAACGAGATAGAAAAGTTTCCGTCTTTTTATGTAGCGAAACTCTGCATTATTTGGCTTTGTTATTATTTAATCATAGCCTTAAAATTGTGTTTCGGTAGCTTTGTTCTGTGTGGTAAAAAAATGACAGATGATATTCATCAGGTATTCGAATATTACTTATAAATAGGAAAAGAGATATTATAATTACAAGTTTAAATACGATAAATAATATATATATTTATAATAGGCAACGAAAGTAAACAGAAAAATATAAGTAAAATTTGGATCGGACGAAGATACAATTTTGACAGAAAATTTGAGACAAATATCTGGAACTATCTGTGTTAAATCTTATAGATCTACTATTCTAACTACATACGTATGCTTGCATTGTGTGTCATCATTATGTAGATAAGCACTTATGATAATGAAGTATACCTAATTTCAGTTCTATTAACAGTTGCTCAAGTGTTAAGCACTCCAGTGTTGAATATTCATCGTTATGACTTGTGTCTGTTTAGGAAATAACTCTTTGACTCCCAAGGAATAGTGTTTAAGACAAAAACATGAAATATTCACAAGATGCTTTGTCTCACAAATTGTGAAACTTGACGGCAAACATAGAGGTTTACAAGATGAAAGAACTTTGTATGTTCGTAATAAATCTCACTTGAAATATGTTTCTAAAGAATTTGTTTACTGTTATAAATTATTTATTTGAATCTAATAATAATTGTTCTATGTTAAAGTTGTTATTTTAATATTATATTGTATGCATTAAGGTCTATCATATTAGACGTGACGTTGAATGGATGAGGATATTGATAGGTATATAACGATGGTAAAATAATTTCGTAGTTTTTATAAATCCTATGATTATTAGAAATTAAGTGAGAATCAGAGTATTTGTATTAATTCACTACATTGTACAACTACTGTCTTAACAGTTATGGTGTTATTAAATATGACAATGACAAACTACGCAGCAGAATAATCAGCAATATATTAACTTCACGTGACGTTTATTTAGCATTGTCATTTTCATTAGTTTTACCTATTTTTTGACATAATTTATATAATAAATAAAACAAGGTTATAATAAAGTTTGAAGAAGTAAACTTCTGTAACGGTTATTTTGCTTGTAAGATGCCTGTTTGTATTTCGCAGCTGATATTTTAGTTTTATGTTTTAAATTTTTACTCGATTGTCTTTATCATTATTTACACAACTTGTAACTATCTAATACAACTACACTTATACGTACGTATAGATAATACAATATAATTTTTTTGAGTTTCATACATTTCGGATGTTACATTCGAAGTTCCAACTATATTTTTAAATTTAAGCTTCAATAAATACGGTATGTTAACTAATTAACACAGAATTAATGAGGAATGAATGAACATCGAGCAAAGTTCACTGCGCCCTATCCTGAATCTTCTTAGGGTTGTTGTTCATGGTCGTATAATTTTTGACACATTTTATTAATCAACGCAGTCTGATGTTTTAATAGCCCTAACAAATGCTAAAATATAATATACATGAAACAATATTAGTCGTAAAAGGGTATAAATATTGAGCCTATTTATAAGAGTGAATAACTTAACAAAAGACTGTATGTGTATAATTGAAAAAAATTTGTTTTTTTTTTACTTTTTCTTAAAATAAAATATTAGCTTTAAGAGAGAACAATTCTACAATATATTAATGACGGAGTAAAGTAACTTATTTCTTTTTTCTATGTATTTATATATTAATGTATTATAATTATAATAGTATATATTAATGGTTTCTCATTAATTACATTATTATTGACAAGATTTATATAATTATTCAATTTTTTGTCACAATCTTTTGTTTAAACTTTAGATTTACAATAAATAATATTCTCTAGAATACGAATTTCTCATTAGTATAATGAAATCGAATATTAATCATAAATATTTGGTTTTATAGACACCAATCAAACAGAAAATTGATATTGCTGTCTTAGTACGGAGTTTTAAGGTAAACGGGTTAATAAAATACAGACCAAATAAATAAACCTAGTGTGAATTAGGTTGTTTAATTGAAACATGTACTTATCTGATGTAACTTAATAACATTGAATTTGATTATAAATTATAATAATATCCTTTATTTTATAAATTAATTTTATAATTTATAAACAACTAGCTGTCGCGGCAAACGTTGTTTTGCCTTAAAATAAAAAAAAAATTTAGGGGTGGACTACCCCTAACATTTAGGGGGATGAAAAATAGATGTTGCCCGATTCTCAGACCTACTCAATACGCTCACAAAATTTCATGAGAATCGGTCAAGCCGTTTCGGAGGAGTATGGGAACGAAAACTGTGACACGAGAATTTTATATATAAGATTAGGAATTTAAACCATTATTAAAATAATTAGATATTTATTGAAATATATTTAAGAAGAGATTTTTAGTAATGGGGACTAGAGACACCGTTACTAGCATCCATCAACATAATGACAACTGGACCTATACGCAGTCGCCCTGAAAAAAATCGTGGTTGATTCCTGGTGAATCCATCATTATAGATTAACAGGCCTGATTTCATTGTCATTCTATTATCTACCGTTAGTGTCTCG